CTGCTGCCAGCACTGGGACTGGGATGCACCATGGGCACCTCACAACAGGGACACCAGCAGTGCCAGCAGCTCCTGTCTCGGTGCTGGGACCGCCTGTCCCTCCGGCACCCCTGGCTCTGTCGGGAGTCTCCGGAGCTGGTGGTGCCCAGGGGACTGTGCTCTGCACCCAGATCATTTAGTTTCTTTATTTCCTAAAAGGAGAAGGAGCGAAAAGCAGTTTTGGAAAAAGCAGGATTGCAAATGTCCTATGCGACAAAGCCCGACAGAACGCGAGTCCTGACTGCAGGGCTGCCAATGGCCTCTCCCTCCTGGAATAAGCTGGGCATCCTGGAGCTGGGAGGGTTAAATGCATTTTCTCTTCCAATGAATTCTAGAGAAGAGGAAAAAACACCCATCTGCCCATTCTTTGGCGACAGACAGACAAACCCTCCCTGCCTCCAGCTCCCCCCTCAGCTTCTGGTAGCTCTAATCCAATATTATTATGTGAAAAATGGTCGGGCTAGCTATGGAGACAGTAAATTAAACGTTATGTATTAGTTTTTAGCGTGTGGTCCTGGGAAGCACGCTGGCCCCATTTATTCCACAAACCTCCTGAGCACCATGGCGATGACCTCTGGAAAAACGCAGGGCTAAACTAATCCCAAAGATGTCAATCTCGAGGCCTCTTCTACATACACTTGCAGTTTAGATTAATAAACTGTCTATTTTTAAATTGTGTGCAAGCACTTCAATTCTAAATACCTCGCCGGCATGTTAAACACAGCGTTAGAGATGCCAAGTCACACTTCCCCTTCACTGTTAGGAAACTTGACTTCATTTGTTTTTCTCATTTCCGCGAGATGTGGCTCACTTTGCCTTCCAGCCTGGGCAGGCAGGACCAGGGCTAAGGTGGTAGGAAAGGCACTGGGTACCAGGGAGACTTGCATTTTTGCATGAATTTGGGCCTAAATTTGGCCTCTCTATCTTTTTCCCCCAAACCATGGTGTTGGGACTGCATCCTCAGAGCTGAGTGGTTGGGATGCCCTCAGCACCAGCCTCAACGCAAACATGTCCCCTTAATGTGTCCCCTATCTCCTTGAGCTACCATCTTGCTCATCCCTGCTGGGGGGCAGCTAAGCCCATCTCTGCTACAGGAAGCATCTGTGTGGGGCTAAATCCAGGGAAACAACCTCCTTCCTGCCCCTACCATAGCAAGCTGCGGCTCCCCACACTGAAGACAGGAGCCAGGACCTCGTATGAGCAGCCCTGCAGCCTCATATTTCTCCCTCCCCTTTAAATCATCTCTCCATTGGTAAAGGCACTCTCTGCGGAGGTTATAAACCCTGAGAGGATCAGCCTGAGCATTACACCTGGGGCAAGCTAAATAAAAAAAGGTCACCGGCGCTTTTTAAACATGGACAAAAAAGCAGTAAAATGTGTTTGGAAAAAAAAAATCTGGCATTAAATCATGACTTTTTGCCTGGCTTGCCTCATTAAAAGTGGCCTTTTGGAAGGTAAAATTATCATTGTAAGTGATAAGATCTTTAAGAAAATAATTCACGGCTTCTTCACCCTTTAATATGATAGCCGCCACCGGCTAATTTTTTTCTTAATGGCAACGAGGCCATCAATCTTGTCCGGGCCGTGTGCTCGCTCCTCGCTGCCGCCCTGCGCCGGGCAGCCACGCTGCCAGCAGCGCCCCGCGCGCGCACGCTCCGGCGTGTCCCGAACGGCGCCACGGGAGACGCCAGCGCAGCCGCCGGGACGAGGGAAAGGCTGGGAAGCGCCCCCGGCCCTAGGCACCCCCCGGGCACGCTCAGCACGGCCGATGCCTCCGACGTTCTCCCTTTCAAGGCCAGTCATTTGAGGGTGTTAGAGCGCTGGACTCCTGCTTTCCGATAGCCCTGGAAAAACACGGCGAGTCTATTTTTCTTAAACAATCCATCACTGCTGCTGTCAGCAGAACAAATACCCTATTCCTGCTTTTTATGTATCTGTATGGCCTTTTTATATATATATATATTTTTGGCACAAAGTGTTCCCTGCTTGATGCATTCAGCTTTAACTCTGCCGTCTAAATAGGTACTTATCACTTAACATGGAGGTGATGGCTTGACATGTGTTCTGTCTCCTGCCCTCCCCTCCACGGTAGGGAAGCCGTCAAAGTGTTGCTAATAGCTGTTATCACTTGGGAACTGTAACCCGAAAGCCATGAGTGATACCAGGCCTCGCCGTGATTTTCCCCCCTTTACTCTGCCAACCTTTTTTTTTTTTTTGTGTTACTGCTTGAGGATCCCTGACACAAAGATGCTAGTGTTAGAGCTCAGTTTCACAGGCACTTTCAGAAGGTCCAAATTTGTTCCTAGGAGAGTTAGAGGCAAAATCCCCAGTGGCTTTTAGCTGACGGAGGTGGAGGTGGGCTGGAGCTGAGGGCGCAACGCTTAAATGCAAGAAGGGTGTTAACAGTGCGTGGAAATAACGGCATCAGCAGCCTGCTGGCCTCCACTGAAGGCTTCCAGGGGTTTGCAGCTGCGCTAAGCTTACAGAAATGTGAGCTACTGGTTTATTTTTGTTCATGCTATGCTCGCACTTTGGGTTGCAATGGAGCTCGGGGTCCTCTTGGAGAAGCACCAGCTGTGCCAGGGGAAAGGAGCCCTTCTGGCAGAAAAGCAGGAGGATGGAGAGGGAAGGCGATCCGGGCAAGGTCTCCCGGCCCCTCGCGGTGCAGCTGGGGCAGAAGTGCAGGCCCCGTTTTTGGACTGGCACTGAACCACCTCCATCTCTGCCCTCCCTGCGTTCGCCCCCAGCCTAATGGGAGGGCACAGCTGCTTGGCCCAAGGGCAGCGCAGGGCTCTGCTTGTTCATAGGTTGTTTTATGGAAGAAAACCTGGCAGAGATTTGTTTGGAGCAGCCCTGGTTTCCTTACCCTGCCCTGGCAGGGCGCACGGCCGGCCGACCCTCAGCCCAGGCACTTTCCCCTCCTTTGCAAATCTGTGCACCGCTCTCACGTCCCCTGTTTAGCTGTAGCTTTGCCACAAGGTTCAGCTTTAGCTTTTTGGTCTTTCCTCATAAATAACAGTTGCAGAAGGAGGGGGAGGAAGGAACAGGCACAGATATCGGCAATGACTTTCTCATGGCCCTCCAGTGAGTCAGTGACATAAGAGAAGGAGTTAAAACCTCAGGGCCTTGACACCAGTCCCTGGCTCCTACCGCCAGACACGATGTGCAGAAGTTAAATGATCGTGCTAGAAATTTCATCTTGAGCAAGGAAGCTGGGAAAGGCTTAATACAGACATTCTGTCAAGGTTTAAGGCTCCAAATCTCGCTTGCTTCAAAGCTCTTTCTCCTTGGAGGGCTTTAGTGGTCAGATTTCCCTCTAGGTGCTGTAATTCTCTCTCAAACTACTCTACGAAGCCGTAAAATCACGGGCGTAGGTGGGGGGATCGAAGGGCTCTGGCAGCGCGGCTCGCTTCCCGGCTCAGACGGAGGTCTCCATGCCGCGGCCGCCCGCTCGCCCCCGGCACCCTGGGAGAGGCCAGTGCAGACCAAAGCCACTTGCCCGGGTGCCTGCCCGCTTCGTGACCCTCGGTGGGTGACGGGAAGGGTTGAGGTCTCTCCTCTGTAGGAATAGACCACATGACATCCAGGTGATTCCCCGTGGAGGATTCCCTGTGGAGCCTCCCACAGGAGGCTGGACAGGCAGTGACTAAGAAGCGCTTTTAGGTAGCTACAGGGACTTGGGAACACTGATTCGAGGTTACAGCGGGATGCTCAAATAAGAGTAGGAACAGCCAAATTAGCTGTTACCCTTAACCAACACTGGTCAGATTTGGAGTGCCACAAACACTTTCCTCTCCCAAACACCTCTGTGTGGGGGAAGCAGCCAGTGAGGAAGGGCAAGGAGGGAGTGTGAGACCTGGGAATGACACCGAGAATGGAAATCTGCTGACGGCCACATACAGGCTTTGGGGCAACCAAGAGCCTGGTCAGACACCAACGTGGCATTGCCTGCTTTCCTAGCTAGGAGGCCTCAGGCTTGGATAGCAATAGCATCCCAAGTTTGCCAGCTGCTCGTCCAAGCTGATTGCCCAGCCTGGCGTAGGATGCTCGGCAGGATTTGCTCTCTAGCAGAAGGCACACGGGGACACGGCTCATACCCTTAACCAACCCTGGTCAGATTTGGAGTGCCACAAAACACTTTCCTCTCCCAAACACCTCTGTGTGGGGGAAGCAGCCAGCTCCCAGCCCCGCTGCCCTGCCACTGCCTCAGCCAGCTCCAGTAATAGAAGAACCCGATACAATAATCCTGCATTCCTCACATCCTATGTTGAGTGATTGGATTTTCTTTGACATATTGCCATGAAAATTGACCTGTTGCCGTGAGTGACAGCTCTTCGGGGGCAGGCAGGCAGTGAGCCAGGAACATGCCTCTATATCTGGGCTTCTATTGCCAGGAGAGGCTTTTGCCAGGGTAGCAGCAGTGAAGGGGTGGGAGCAGAGAGAGAAGGATGGGTGGGAGTCAAACCACCACCCCAAACTGTCCTAGCCCCTGCTCCCCAGGAAGAGCCTCGGACAGTGCGGGAGGAGCGAGAGCTGTGAGACTTTATCCAGAGGTCCCAAACAAGCCCTAAAGTCATCCTAAAGCCACTGGGGCAGAGCGGTGATCGTGTCCCCATGCCAGCTCCCCCTTTCCTGGGCTGGGACCCCTGCCTTGCCCTCGAGGTGCCCGGCGGGACATCAGAGAGGGACTTGGTACCGCACCAGGCTGCTCCCAGGCCGCGGAGCAAACGCTCAGCAGGCACAAAGGGCCCCGTCTCCCCGCCGGCCTCCTCCTACATCCCGCGTAATTACAAAGAGGCCTTTAATACCAAGCTAACATGAAGGTGGAAGTGTTGTGCCACACAGGACTTGTCTCCCAGCAAAAGCCACCTAGAAATAATGAATCCTCCTGGGCTGAGAGGCTTTCAAGCTCTCTGAGAAGGGAATGAAAGATTTCCTGATTTCAGCCTCTCCCTCCCTGCTCTCATGGCTTCTTGAAGTTAATGTTCTTAGGCCTAGACGTGACGGGCAAAGGGAAAAGATCCATGTGTTGACAGAGGACGATTGATCTCTTTTACATAGAACGACTCTCCAGTCCCAGTTTAATCCCCTCGCTCAAGGCAAATGGGATTCTTTGTCAATGGAAACTTCAAAAGCCCGGCCCTGCCGAGAGATGGACCTTCTTCTTTATCTGGTGTCTGTCAGTCACTTGGTGTATTTCCCTCCAAACAGCTAATCTGTCTTCCTAACCTTCCTTCTCCCTCTCAGGCGCTGTGTTTGGGACCGTTGAGTTATCTACGCTCAGACCTGACAACAAGTGAAAGGGAAGCGTGCAAAATCGAGGTGCTTTTATTCCGCAGGTGCCCTTTCCAGCTCCTTCAAGACATCTAAAGACAGCTTCATGGGCCTTGGCTTTTCAGTGATAGTTGGGCTTGGGGATTGTTTTCCGCACGGCTTGTTTTCCATGAGGGAAAGTGCCCTCCAGTGCCCAGGAGATGCCGGGACAGCAGCCCATTGCTCCCAACACGGAAGCCAGGAACTTGTGTTCTACCAGCAGCTCCCTTTTGCCCCAACAAAGCCAGGTCTCTGTGTGCTGATCAGTGTCCCCGGGGCAGTGCCGGGGGAAGAGGGACAGTCACGCAGGAGAACATGGCACCAAAGGTGTGACACATAAGCTGGCATCACTGTGAACTTTAGTTTTCTCTTTGGTGGTGGTTTGGGAAATTTTTGGATTTACTCAGGAGGCAGCTGGGACCCCAAGACAGCACTGCAGCTCCCCTACTCCTCACCTAATTGGCCACACAAGATGTTTTGTGGTTGCAAGAGTCACTGAACCCCGTGGGGAAACCTAGAGCTGAAATTTCAGCCTTTTTCTAATGTCACGTTCCAAACCTGCCCAAAGCTTTCCGAAGAAAAAAAGGGAAGCAAGACCTGTAGTTTGTGCTCTTAAAGCTAGCAGAAAGACGGTTCCCCGGAGAGCTTCCCTGAGCCCCCTGCGCTGGGCAAGCTCAGGGGTACAAATGCTCTCCCCAGACAGGGGACCTGCTGGCTCAGACCGTGCTGCAGTCGAAAGCGGCGGGTAGGAGAGCCTGGACCCCGGCCTGTGCCCTCCTCGGGCAGCACCACTTGGCACTCGCTTTTCCCAAGGGGTCCAGCACCACCTCTCCGCTCCTTCCACATCCACCATCCAGCTAACAGCAACACTAATTAGCGAATGAGGCTCTTTGCAATGACTCTGATGTGTTATATGTTCTGGACGTGGCCAGCAGGACTTTCAGAGACAGAGGGTAGGAGGTGGGTGTTGGAAGGAGGACAGGGCTGAGACGGGGATTTTAGCTATCTGGGTGCACAAGGAGGGTGCTTTGCTCCACCATACATTTCTGCGCCCCTTTTCCAGAGCTGCCATACGGCTTTGGCTCCTGAAACTCCTGCACGCGATGTTAATGCTGGAGCCTGAGCTGGGTGTGCGTGTGATCAACACTCATCCGCTGTCGTCAGGCACAATCTGGAGTCACGGAGCCTGACGGATCTTTCAGCCCGTGATCCCTGAGCCATGTGGGGAAGGGCAGACCCTGCTGCAGCCCTATGGGGAACAGGGGCAGCTTTCCCTATGCTGGGCAGACCCCGAAGCGCGGCTGGGAGGGTCAGGGGTACAACCGCCCCCGCCGCGGGGAAGGGTGCCGAGCTGTGCTCACTTACCTTGGGGGTACCCGCTGCCATGGCATCCTTCAGGATGGAGTTCTTGCTGCCAAGAGAGAAGAGAAGGGGGTCAGAGGCGTAAAAACTGCTGTGGCGGGCAAGGAGCGGGAGAAGTGGCAGAGGTTAAAGAGCAGCGAGCGCGGCTCCACGTGCCCTGCTCGGCGGACACACCCGGGGGTTGCACGGCAGCCTATTTGCCCAGCCTAGGTTAGAATAAAAATGTCCTGAAAGTGGAACCACCCCAACCCAGACACTGCTGCTGGCACCAGCCATATCCCAGCTCTTCGCCTCCCCAGGGAAAGCAGGGATGCTGCTGGGAAGAAAGGCGAGGAGCTGGAACAGAAAGTGCTGAGTCCTAGGACCAGGCACCATAAAAAGAAAAAAAAAAGGGGGGGAGGAGGGGGGAGAAGGAAAGAGAGGGAGATCCACCCCGTGTAAAAAACCCGGGAAGGAGGATCCCTCCTGCTCCAGGCACGCGGCGGAGGCAGCGGCTCCGCCGGCGCTGGAGTGAGTTGTTAATTCCGCCTGTTCCCCGCGTAGCGGGAAGGAGGTCCCCGGCACGGCGCTCCTCCTCGCCTGCCCCCGCAGATTTAATAACACCTTCCCCCCTCCAGACAGGTTAAACTTGAAACAATTACATATCAAAACCGACATGGCGGGGAGGCCTGCACTGTAATTTTTTGGTTATTAAAGTAATCTCTCTCATGTAAATTCTCCTGCTAACATGCTGCAAACAGCATTAGGAAATAAATTATTTCCCTCTGATTCGATTTGCCGATGCAAAGCACCTGCAGGAGGGAAAAAAAAAAAAAGGGGGAAAAAAAAAAAAAGAGGAAGGTTGAAATATGCTGGCAAGGCCGGCGGTTGCGCTGGCTCGCGAGCGCGGCCGTGGGGCGGCGGGCGCCCCGCTCCCAGCGCCCCGGGGACGTGATGGATGGGTGGGCGGAGGGGGAGGCGAGCGGCTGGAGGCGGAGGTTGGCGAAGGGGGGGCGCTGGAATTGTGTTTAATAACAAAATTTGTATGCAAGCCTGCATCCCAGGCTAAGGATGAGTGATCGGCAGCCAGAAAGTATTAAAAAGCCTCGCTAAACAGATGCTGACAATAGAACAAGACATATCAAATCAGATCTACTTCAGAAACATTAATACACACCCGCACACGCGCCCCCCCCGCGCGCGCACGCGGCTCCGCACACACATGCTCCTTTCTTCTCAATCACAGCAATATGGGAGACATCAATAAATTTTTATGAGACTTTTAGAAGATCAACACGGTACTAGATGTGACAAAAAAGCAATGTGCCTGTCATGTTCGCTTTGTCGGGGACACTTTAGCCCCAGATGCCGAGCCGCGGTGGCAGCGGGGAGAAATTGAATTTGGCTGGCTTTAATCTGCCTTGATTTGGCAGATGGCTGGGTGTTATGAAACGAGAAGGGATGGAGGAAGGTGTTTTCTCCTGGGGCTACAGCCCCCCTCCTCGCCCCGTCCTCCTGCCCCAAAATGGGGTGAAACAAGCGGTTATCGGTCCAGCAGGTCAGCCCAAACCGGCCGTGAGGCTTGGCCGGAGCTGCGATCCTCA